TTAGATTTTTTATATTTAAAATGAGATATTTATCCTATATTTGATTGTGTTTATCTGCAGTTAGTTACACGAATTCAGATATGGGATGAAATCGGATAGAGATGAAGGGGTTTAAGAGTTTTTAAGAGTTTAAGAGTTTTAAGAGTTTTTAAGAGTTTTAGTCAAATGCTTTATAATATAGTATAGATAATTACAAAAACGAAAGTTTTTTTTACATATTTTAAAACATTTTCACAAACAGTTTTAGTGAGATCCTGTGAAAAACCAACACTACTAAACAAAAGGGCTTGGCCGACAGATTTTTCCACCGGAAAAATTTTTCGTGGGATTTACGACAGATCACTGATTACCGGCAGATTACTGATGGCCGTATTTGCTGTTGATGATCAATTCGCCGGTAACCACGATCACCGGCCAAGTTTTATCCGTCCGTGATATCCGCCGGTGATCCTTTTTTTGGCGGATTTTCGTCAGAACGATCCTTTGATTTGTTTAGTAGTGCAACAATATCCGCTAAATTTCAAAATCCTACAAAATCCAACGTCTGTAGAATTTTATTAAAATCCAGGAATTCAATTTTAAACCAAAAGTAGGATTGAAATTAAATCCACAAACCTCACCAAATTACGCGTCTAACAAATCAAACAGACTCTAAGAATTTTTTATTTAAAATTTTTATTGGAGAGTTTTTTTCTTATAGATTTTAACTATAGAATAACCCAAACTTCATTTTTAGACATAATTTTTTTCATAAGTGATTAAAATTCAACCGTCTAAAATGCAGTTGATTGGGCATCTTTTTATAGGATGAACCTTTGATTTGTTAGATACGAAGTTATTAAGATATCCAACCGAATCTCACTATGACTTCATTATTGATTCAGCTTTAAGTATTGGCATATAATGCCTACTTAATGCACCCTTTAAGCAACTCATGTGATTATAGAATTTGCATTGATTGGTTCTAATATTCGACTCATGTTAATCCCGAATGTTCTTTTGATTAAACTCATTGTTTTTTTTCATTTACAAAATTGTTGTATTCTCATGGACAGATCCATAGTGGTGCATACAGTGGCACGTGCCACAGTATTATTCTTCCATTGAAGGGTAAAAAAAATTAGGTTCGTGAATGGTGCAACTACTGTATTAATCTGTTGTGTGCCACCGTAAGTATATTATCGGAAATAGTCAATACTCTAACTTACTTTATCGGGTAAGATTGTAGTCTATAGAAATTGTATCATATGCAACAATTTATCCGGTAAGTGTTTATTGAATGAGAGTCGTCATCCTCACTTACCTGGTAAGACTCTATTCTTATCATCACTCTTACTGGGTAAGACTCTCAACTCTTGTCATGTTCATCCAATAAGAAAAATGACCCGATAAACGCTTAACCAATAAGCATTTAGAGGTCGTTTACCAAACGCTTAAGAGCATATCAAGTCACATTATCTTACTGAATGCATATGAAAAGGGTCAATAATCTTACTCAGTAAGAGCGAAGGCAAGGGCCGAGAGTCTTACTCGCACTACAACAAAATTGAGTTTATTGGATGCCACCAAATTCAAAGCATCCTAATAGACTGCTTTATAGGACTCAATTTATAGGACCAAAAAATAAAATGGTCACATCTAAAGGCGTTGTAATACGTTTATAGGACGCTTTTGGGCGTCTTAACAAGTTTTTAGGACATTATACAAAACGTCTTATTAGCTATTTTATACGACATTATTTGAAAAAATGTCTTATAAAAACAAGTGTCCTATGAAAATATGTTAAGACGCCCAAAAACCTTCAATAAACTTATTACAATGTCTTTAAATAGGACCCCTTTTTTGGTCCTATAAATTGAGTCGCATAAACCATTCTATTATGACGTTTTAAAATTGATGGCGTCCTATAAATTCAATTTTGTTTTAGTGCCGATAAGTGAAGGCGATGACTCTTAACACAGTTAACACTTACCAGGTAAATTGTTGCACATGATACCTTTTTGGTGGACTAAAGTCTTACTCAGTGAGTAAATGTTAGTGTTGAATTTTGCCGGTAAGCATTTATCCTGGTAAGCATTTGTTATCTAGGATTACCTGTTGAAGAAAATACGTCCAAGTCCCGAGGATGAAAGGTGGTGGTTGACAAGTTTCTTGCCAAACTGTTGGATTGGAAGGTTAAAACCTTGTACGTGGGTGGGCACCTTACCCTGCTAAAATAGGTGTTGGGGAGTCTCCCGACATATTATATGTACTTGTTCAAAATGCCATCTTCGGTTGTTAAAATGTTGGAATTCATTCGAAAATTTTTCTTTGTGGGAGGTGAGATGGATGATAATAAGATGTCTTGAGTTAAATGGGATAAAAGTATGGCTAGCAAAAAAGATGGGGTCTTGGTATAGGAAGTTTATTTGCATTTAATGGGGTCTTACTTTTTAAATGAGTATGGAGATTCAAAGTTGACCAAGAGGCGGTGTGGGTTAAAGTGATTCAATCAACACATAGTGATGGACAAATTAGATTGATTTCGTCTTCTGTGAGTTCAAAATCAACATGGCTGACGATTTTGTAGGTTTTTCTCCATTTACGGGGTAAATTTTTTGTCCGTCTTTTTGTAAGAAAAAGGTAAGAGACGATTCATATACTTCTTTTTGGCATGATACTTGGTTGGAAAGTGGGCCTTTGAAAATGGAATACACAGTAGTGTATGCTTTAGAGCTTGATAAAGAGGTTACAGTCAAAGAACGGGTAATAAACAAGGATTGTTTTCGTTATTTTCAGAGGGACCCAAGGGGGAGCAGAATTGGCGCAATTTTCTGCCTTGAGGGATATGATGTAGTGATTGTGGTTTCTAATCAGAAATATCGGTTGGTGTGGTCTTTGGATAGATGAGGTTCTTTTACCATTGCCTCAACTAGGAATTACATTGATTCCAGATTGTTGGTTGTGGACTCGATTGGTACTAGATGGAACCGGTTAGTTCCTCTTAAGATCAATGTTTTTATTTGGGTTTGAATAGAATAGTCATTGGAGATAATTTGGATAGGAGAGGGATTAATGTTGACTCATTGCTTTGTCCTTTCTGTGATGTGGGTTTAGACACAGGAGATCATTTATTTTTCTCGTGCTCTTTGGCGACGAAGATTTGGAGACAGATTGGTAGATGGTGGCATTTGGATATCCCGGTATTTAGTTCCTATGTGTCTTAGATTACATAGTTTTCTAATTTGTGGTTGAAGAGTAGGGAGAAACTGTGCTTTAAGGCAATTATTCTCACTATGCTTTGGTACATATGGTCGTTCCGAAATGTGACCATTTTTGGCAAGACGAAGCTAAATGATGCAGATATCTTTGACAAGAATGTGACTCAGGGTATTTTTGTGTTTCTAATAGGGATAGCAAATTTAAGATTAATTGGGTGAGTTGGCTTCATATCCCTCTCATGTCTATTTCCCTACATGTAATTGTTTGTTTTAGCGTCAAGCTAATTTTTTAATAAAATCTCGTTGCTGTCCAAAAAAATAATAGATGGAGGAATGAACTTTTTTCTCCATTTCTTAATTAAAAATAGTTGAAAAGATAATTAAAAAGTAGACGTTTAGTTTGTTAAACGACACTTATTTTAGGACAAACTCAAAAGAAAATATGTACATTCATTTTTTAATATGGAAATGTATAGACTTTATAAGTAAGGATCTTAAAATAGGAAGTGAAAAACAATACATTCTATTTTAGTATAATTTGTTTAATTTTAATAGTATTGATTATAAAAAAAACATATTTTTTGAAAATTGGTTATCCAAATCTTTTTAAACCAAAAGACTCCATGTAACCTACCAATCTATCCGTTTTACTGTTCACAAACTCTCTGTCATTTGAATCACTTGTACCTAAAGCCATCGTTCTCCCTCATCACCTTATAGTTGTTCACTTTCTATGATCGTTGTTGGTCCCCGCCATTGTTCTCCCTCGCCACCTTATAGTTGTTCACTTTCTATGATAAATGCAACCAATTTCTTAAAGTCTATTAACTAATTTATGTAAAAAGAGTTTATTACTTAATTATTTAAAATGAAATAAATTGATTCTTTTTGTAAAAAAAAATTTAATCATTTAAAATAAAAAAAAGGTATTTTAAATTTATGTAATAGTATTAAATATGGAAAAGAAGGTTGAAAATGGGGAAGGTATAGAGTCTATAGGACAATGGAAGACATGTACCCAAACGGTTGGCAGTGTGCACATAGAAACAAAACAGATGGACCAAACCCAAAAACCCATAATTTGACCATTAAATACAAAAAAGGACTTAACAGTAATTTCACAGCCCCTCCCCCAAAACCGCATTCATTTCTTTAACTTGTCTTCTTGCTACTCCATCAAAAGCAGGTGGATACCCCATACCCCCTTACTTTTTCTCTCTGAAATCGGTGGATCAAGAAACTTTATCCCTACAATTCGCTCTCTGATTTGGTATCTATGAAGAGATCAATCTCGTTTTCGGAAGATCAGGTCAACGGCGATGGCGATGGCGATGGTGATGTTGGTAAGATGAAGAAGAAGATCCGTGAAGATCTCGGTCCAGAGATGGTGAAGGGCATGGGGGAGACGCCGGAGACAGCGATTTCTGTTCTGATGGACGAGAATTTGCTGTATGAGGTTCTGAAACATGTGGACGCGCGGACGTTAGGTGCGGCGGGATGCGTGAACAGGCAGTGGCATCGGACGGCTCAGGACGAGCGGTTATGGGAGCTGATCTGTACAAGGCACTGGGCGAATATCGGGTGCGGTAACAATCAGCTTCGTTCAGTGGTCCTTGCACTCGGTGGCTTCCGTCGACTCCATTCTCATTACTTATGGCCTTTATCCAAGCCGTCCACCTCCACCGCTACCTCATCGTCATCTTCAACCGTAGCTGCCGCCGCCGCCACCGCATCCTCATCGTCCTGGCCGTGCTTGCCACCGCCGCGTACAATCGTTCCGTCGAAACCTACGGCCGTGAAAACCCGTTGGGGAAAAGACGAGGTTCAGCTTTCTCTCTCGCTTCTGTCGATTCGTTACTATGAGAAGATGAATTTCAATAACCGAAAATGAAAGGTGGAGCTAATTTGTGGAATTGTTTGTGTTTGAATTTGGTGTTTGCTTGTAATGTTGTGTGGTAGGATGTGGTTTCTACTCTATCCCTAACTAATCGTTCAAATGTATCCCACCTAGATTTCTACTATCAAATGAAGTATTTTGTAAATTGAGAGGTAAATGTTTGGATCAATTCTGACAAAAATCGATAATCCATCACCATGGATTTATTGATGGTTGCCAATTTAGGGAAAGGAGAAAGAAACTGAATGTTGCGGGAGGGGTAGGAAAAAAGGGGTAAAACTAAACTCACCGACGGTCAGTCACTGAGAAAGCAGTTGATGCCAAAAGTACAAACAGACAATGACAATGCGTCAAAACACAACACTGCAAATTATTTTTATTAATATAATTTATAAATAATTAAAAGATGTAATTGTATCTTTTTAAATTTAAAAGAAAAAACAAAAAACAAAAAAGAAAAAAGAAAAAAGAAAAAAGAAAACAATTGAAGTGAAATTCGAAGAGGATGGTGGGGGTGAAGGAGGGATCTGTCCTATTTGTTGTTTGCATTATGTATATGAATGAAAGTGATTAGATGGAACAAAGAACAGCAAGGGAATAATGGTGTACCACTATGTTTTTTGGAATATTGTTCGACTTGTTTCTAATTTAGAAATTTATTTGTCTTCTTTTCCAGAAAATATATATTATCAATTCCATCTTCATATTCATATGCTACAAGTAAAAACATCCACACATTATTCATCGGTGTACCTCATAGGTGTAAGAAAAGATTATTGATTACTTTTAATCTCATGCCCACCAATAAACTGCGCTTATTGATTGGTGCAGCTCATAGGTTTTGATATTCAATTAGGATTGATCCAAAGGTGGAAATCCATTCTTAAGAGGGAACATTTATTTGTTCATCATTATATTCTAGTAATTGATCATTCAACGCTAGAGATAACTTAGGGGAGGAAAGACCTCGGAAAGGGGAGGTGTCCGAGTCATCACCAAGGTCGTGTAGAGACGCCAAGGTGGAGTGATACGCCAAGGTGACGCAGAGGCCGGTCGTCGGCTAAGGATTGGCGCCAGAGGGGAGGCGGGGCGGTGCGCAGGACGGTGAAACTGTGAGAAATAAGGAAGCCGAATGGGATCGACTAAGGGGGATCGGTTTAAGGGCAGGCCGATTGAAAGTGGGAGGGGGCGCCAAATGGGTGATCATCTTGAGTAGAAGCCGAATGGGAAAGGGAAAGAGAGACCAAGTGGATTGGTGATAAGAAAAGCCGAAGGAGAAGGGATGGGGAGGGGTAGGGTGGGGTTGTTCGGCTTATGAAATTTGGGATAGAGGAGAGAGGTAGGCCGATCGAGAGGGTGAGGTTGAGGGTGTTAAGGATCGTCTCGAGTATAGGTTTTAGGACTTCGGTGTGTGGAATCGGTTGGAGGGGTGGCTTGAAGGTCCAAATATGGTGATCGGCTTAAGGTAGGAAAGGTGGATCGGTGTGGGGGGGTTCGGTTTCTTGAGAAGAGATTAGGCCGAATTGGGTTTGGTTTGTTGTGATCGGTGTCTGTGTTTAGTGAGGGAGGGAGGCCGAAGGGTGAGAAGAGAGGGGGAAGCCGAAGGGAAGAAATGGTGAGTGGTGTGAGAGAGGGGAAGTCGATTGGGGAGATCAGCTTGAGTGGATCGGTTTGGGGTAGTGTGAAAAGTATAGATCGACTAGAGAGAGGGGGATTGGCTTGTGTGAGATCGGTTTGCAAGGGGTAGGCATGTGAGTTTGGCTTGAGAGCTTGAGAAGGTGGATGTATAAATCGGTTTGTGGAGAAGTGAAGAGAGAGGAGTCGGCTTGGGAAGAAGCCGATTAGGGTGTGTGTAGTATGTGTGAGGAAGCCGATTAGGAATAGGGAGAGGAGGATCGACTTGATTGAGGTTTGGCCCAAAATGCAGAGGCCCACGGACCGGGTGTTAACAAAAAAAAAAAAACAAGATAAAATGCACAAAAGAAAAATTAAAACCACTACACACACATAAAATAAGAATTTTTTTTAAGCGATAAAAAGAAATTCACATAGAGACTGTTTAGAGAGAAAAATAGAAACTGATTTTCAAGAAAAAATTATATGAATGTAAAACCCATTATTTTCAAAAAAATCAATATTTTAGAAAGAGAGAAAACATACTCACACAGATAGCAGACTATTTTTAGAGAAGACACACAACCCAAATAAATTAGTGAAAACTCAAAAATTATTTGTCAACATTTAACATTCCCAACTCACTGATCAAAAAATTAAACCGAGTTTCGTCAAGAGGCTTGGTAAACAAGTCAGCAAGTTGATTGTCCGAGGGGATAAAATGAAGTTCAACATCACCTTTCATCACATGATCTCTGATAAACTGATACCGGATATCAATATGCTTTGTATGAGAGTGAAGAACTGGATTGTTGGCAATAGCAATGGCACTTGAATTGTCACAGAAAATAGGAATTTCTGTGAACAACTGATCATAATCAGCTAACTGATTTTTCATCCACAAAACTTGTGCACAACAGCTACCTGCAATAACATACTCAGCTTTAGCTGTTGAGGTTGCCACTGAGTGTTGCTTCTTGCTAGTCCAACTGACTAACTTTCCACCCAACGACTGACAACTACCAGTTGTACTTTTTCTGTCAACTTTGCAACCTGTATAATCAGAATCTGAAAAACCTGCTAGATCAAAACCTGAGTCTTTGTGATACCAAAGACCCAGATTGGGAGTACCCTTCAGGTCCCTGAAAATGCGTTTAACGGCTGCCAAGTGAGATTCCTCTGGATTCTCTTGATATCTTGCACAAAGACATGTGGAGAACATAATATCTGATCGGCTAGCAGTAAGATAAAGTAAGGAGCCGATCATTCCCCTAGGTCACATTTACCGATTTGCCATCGGGGTCTGCATTCAATTTCAAGGGGGGTGCCATTGGGGTTTTCATGGAAGAACACTCAGTAAAATCAAATTTCTTTCAAAGATCTTTAACATATTTGCTTTGATTTATAAAGATTTCTTTGTCGGATTGCTTGACTTGCAAACCCAAGAAAAATGTGAGTTCACCCATCATACTCATTTCATATTTACTTTGCATGAGTTTTGAAAACTTTCTACACATAGATTCTTTAGTGGCACCGAATATGATATCATCCACATAAATTTGTACAAGAATGACATTACCTTTATGTTTCCTAAGAAAGAGGGTATTGTCAATTTTACCATGGGAGAACCCGTTTTCCATAAAAAAAAGTAGAGAGAGTGTCATACCATGCACGACGAGCCTGTTTGAGACCATACAAAGCTTTGTCTAATTTATAGACATACCCTGGATGTTTAGGATCCTCAAAGCCTATAGATTTCTTCACATAGACTTCTTCAGTAAGTTTCCCATTCAGGAATGCACTTTTTACATCCATCTGGAAAACTTTGAAGTTCTTGAATGCAGCATAGGCAAGGAAGATTCGGATAGCTTCCAACCTTGCTACCGAAGTAAATGTCTCATCATAATCAATGCTTTCCTCTTGCCTCTATCCTTGGGCAACGAGTCGGGCCTTGTTTCGATTCACTGTTCCGTTCTCATCCATTTTATTTCTGAAGATCCACTTTGTACCAATAATTGTTTTGTTGGTTTGTCTAGGGACCAGTCTCCAAACTTTGTTATGCTCGAACTGCAGCAGTTCTTCTTGCATGGCATTGATCCAGCTAGGATCATCAAGGGCTTCTTCAATTCTTTTAGGCTCGATGAGAGATAGAAAATTGACATACAAACAATATTACCAGCACCACGACGTGTTTGGACACCTGCTTGCTGATCACCAATAATTTGCTCTATTGGGTGATCTCTGGTCCACTTAGTGGCAGGAGGAAGAGGAAGATGAAGAGAGGTAGAGGCACCGTCAGCATTCGTCAGAGGATTGGAATAAACGACTACTGAGGTTGGGTCAACGATGTCCTTAGTAGAAGAAATAGGAACATCGACACCAGTTGAGGGTTCCACACAGGAAATAGGTGCCGAATCGGCTGATTCTTGTTCAGGACAGACCGACGGGATATTCATGTTGAATGAAAGATCTTCATTCTCATCTTCCTCAACAGGTGGAACAACATCTCCATTAGAGTGTGGAGGTCCACCGACTGGAGTTGAGTTCTCAGAGGAGTGAGATTCCAGCCACTTGTTGAGCTTAAGATCATCACTTTGAAATGATGAAGTTGCAGGCACCGATCCAAATTCATCAAATCTGACATTGATAGATTCATCAATGCACTGACGACGCATGTCGTATACCCGAAAGGCTTTAGGGAAGAGAGAGTAACTAACAAAGATTCCTTCATCAGATTTAGGATCAAACTTTTCTAACTGATCTCTGTCATTCAGAATAAAGCATGCACTACCAAACACATGAAGGAAGCTGATGTTTGGTTTTCTACCATGAAATACTTCATAAGCAGTCTTATTGTGTCTTWTCAYAATTATAGACCTATTTTGAGTAAAGCAAGCTGTATTGACAACTTCAGCCCAAATATAGGTCGAAAGACTTGCTTCACTTAACATTGAACGTGCAGCTTCACATAGTGTACGATTTCTCCTTTCAACAACTCCATTATGCTGTGGAGTCCGAACTGCTGATAAATTTTGAGAAATACCCTTGTCATCAAAGAAGCTTTCAAGAACACTGTTTTTGAATTCAATGTCATTGTCACTTCGAATTGATCTGATAAGTTGATCATTCAAGACTTCAGTCCGCTTCACAAAGTTGATAATTCTTCAGCTGCATCACTCTTGTGTTGAAGAAAGAAGACCCAAATATATCTTGAGTACTCATCCACAATAACAAGAGTATAACGTTTTCCACCCAAACTTTGAATGCTCACAAGACCACAGAGATCCATGTGAAGCATGTGCAAAGGAGCAGAAATAGAAGAGCACATCTTGGACTTGAAACTTGCTTTGGTTTGCATGCCTTTTTCACAAGCAGCACACAGCTTCACTTTGACATATGACATCTTCGGAAGTCCAATAACCAGATATTTACTAGAAAGATTGTTGATAGTTTTGAAATTGAGATGGGACAACCTTTTATGCCATAGCCAATTTTGATCAGCAGTAGCTTCAGAGTAGAAACAGATGTAGGCGTC